CTATCTATCTATCTACCTACCTACCTACCTACCTACCTACCTACCTACCTACCTACCTACCTACCTATCATTCTATCATTTCTAACTCTGTCTATCACCTATATCTATCTATCTGTCTGTCTGCATGTTTATCTATCTATTGAATCAATTTTACAAAGTTTCTATGTTCCCCTGTCATGTCTGAATCCGTTCAGTTTAAAACCTCCAAATCAATAGTAAATGTGAAATGAAACTCACCAATAAACAGTGGAAACAGAATAACTATTCACAAATGCTTTGGAGCAACCATAGCTTATAGGGTTTTTTTTTATTTACTCATTTATATCCCACCTTTATTCTTTTTACAAAAAAGACGGTAAGCGTGCAAGAATATCCTGAAATTCAGAAGAGGACATTATCTTCCAAAATATATTTTCAACCTCATTGTTCATCACTCAGTCCAGAAACAAATTCCTTACAATTACCTACCTTTTAGAAGCCAGGATGATTCCAGGGATTAGCACAATGAGACCGAGCACGATGAGGACACCAGTCACAATAAAAATCAGGGTTGTATCTTTGGACAGATAGAAGAATAGACAAGAGTTCAAGAGTTCATTGTTTTTCTAATCCAGTTTGGATTTAAATACAGAGACAGTGTGCTCTAGTGATTAAAGCATCGATCTAGAAACGAGGAGTTCTAGAAACGTCCTTAACCATGAAAACCACCTAGCTAAGCTTGGGATGGTCAACAGGAGGTGATGAGTTCTAATCCTGTCATCAGCATGAAAGGCAATTGACTTTGAGCCAATCACCAAGAGATAGTGAGTTCTAGTCCCCACCTAGGCATGAAAGCCAGCTGGGTGATTTGGGGTCAATCACCAGGAGATAGAGAGTTCTAGTCCACACTTAGGTATGAAAGCCAACTGGGAGGCCTTGGGTCATTCTCTCCCTCTTAGCCCAACCCTCCTCACAGGGTCGTTGTTGTTGTTGTTGTTGTGGAGAAAATAGGATGAAGAAGGAACATTAGATATGTTTGCCACCTTGAGTTGCTTATAAAAACAATAAAGGCATGCTATAAATGTATAAAATAAATGAAAGAAAAATAACCCTGCTCCAGCATTCCCCAAATGCCATCCCCTCTCTGCTACCTTGCATTCAGAAAGTATTCAGAGCCGAGGTGGCGCAGTGGGTAGAGTGCAGTACTGCAGGCTACTTCAGCTGACTGCTATCTGCAGTTCAGTGGTTCAAATCTCACCGGCTCACGGTTGACTCAGCCTTCCATCCTTCCGAGGTGGGTAAAATGAGGACCCAGACTGTTGGGGGCGATATGCTGACTCTGTAAACCGCTTAGAGAGGGCTGAAAGCCCTATGAAGCGGTATATAAGTCTAACTGCTATTGCTATTATTCAGACCCCCTTCACTTTTGTCAATTTTGTTATGCTCCAGCCTGATGCTACAGTTGTTGAAATTCATTTCCTGCCCCCCACCTCATTCATTTACATTTAGTACTGCATAAAGACAAAGCAAAACCAGAATTTTCGAACAGTCTGTTAATTTCATTTTTAAAAGGAGGGGGAAACCCTGAAATATCACCTT